ATTGGCTTTAGTTAGACAGCTGCCCTTTGAGTTTGGGGACGGTCCAGGTCGGATCCACTGTTTAGTTTCTTCCTTATGAACTCTAATACTTAATTTAGTTATTATAGCACATCAAGGATCATGATTGGGAACGTTTCCAGCTGACTGAATAACTGTGGGTGAGGTCTAGCTACAGTGGTCTCTTCTTAATACTGTCGTTTTGTCGCTTTGACTCCTACGGCATCTGATATCTTCATTCTTCGAAGTCTGGTTCCAATGCGATGGATACCAGTGCGTTTGGCACTTGTCTCAACCATCCACTGTTCTCAACCTCGCTTGTCATCGTGCAGGTTCTGCCTTTCCATTGAAACCGGATGGATGTGGGAAGATAGTGGAGTAGACGCGGCGAATTTTTTTTCATTACAGACGAATTCATGCACCGCTATCCATAACCATCTTTTTTGCAGACTCAGGTCTCGTGGAATTCCTTGCTCATCTTCTTGAACCCGGCTCTGGTGCCTCACCAGAACAGTGCACCCTCGCGGTTTCTGCTTTGATGGCCGCCGCGTACCACTCTCACAAGGTAACTCCCTTTTTCTTCCTTCTTAACTCGTATGCGTTGCGTTTTGTTTAGGCCGAATGACGGCGCTATTTTGCTGCTATTAGGCAGTAGCACTGCTTATTCATGTCAATCGTAAGCCCCATAGTGTGATTGAAAAATAACTTTGGCTTTTCGAGCTCGCTGAAAAAGAGCTTCGATGTGGTCGCTGCGTTATGCAGTGCAAGTAGTAGAACCCTTTAGCATGGTAAAAAGAAATAGAAACCATCACCTACAACTGGTTGCCGCACTGATTGGTACGCATTACTATCCCAAGCTGCTTCATACGAAGTAGCTTGCCGTCTTTCGGCCGAGTGTCTTTGCAACCATTCGCGTAAATCACTTTTTGGGAAAAGGAATATATAGGCTGTATGTTTCCATTTGCTTTTCAAGTTGCAAAAATTCCCATCAGAGAATTCAGAAGAGTAGTTGGGGAGCATACGTAGGCTTTCGATAAATTCCCATCGGCCATTACATTTATAAGAGAACGGGGTACAAGTTAAACAAGCAGTCAATAATGCTTCACTTCTCTTACAAGCGAGTCATGGCAATCCGGGGGAGGGGTCGATAAGAGGAGGATGTTTACGCGTGTGTATCTACTCATTTACTTGCTCATGCGGAGCAGGCTATATCGGTCGCACGAGTCGGCGCTCGTCCCAAAGAATACGAGAGCACCTCTCGGTATGACTGAGCAAAGGTGAAATTAGGAGCATAAACAGCCCCATTCTCGCCCACCTTGTCGATTCCGGACATCATGTGGAACCCAACAAAGCCTTCAAGGCCCTTTATAAGGCCCCACCAAACTCTCCAGTCCCTAGTTCAGCGCCTGCTAGTAACAGCAGAAGCGACTGCTATCAGACGGAGGAAGCCGGCGTTGTGTGCGCAAAAACACCTTCCACAAGCTCTACGTCTAGCATGGCCCACAGTCAGTTGCATGTACTTGTTCACGCTCTCTGCCTCTCTCCCCCCTCCCCTAGACGGGCTCCAGCAAACCCTCCCCGCGTAACC